TTTTTTTTTTTTTTTTGGCCAGGGCTGGGTTTGAACCCGCCACCTCAGGCATATGGAGCCCTTGCCCTACCCTTTTGAGCCACAGGCACCGCCCCACAAAACTTTTAAGGTGAAACACAATAGTTGCAGAGGTTATTTTTATTTTATTTTATTTTAATGTTTTTGAGACAAGTCTCACTATGTCACCCTCAATAGAGTGCTGTGTTGTCACAGCTCACAGCAACCTCCAACTCTTGGGCTTAAGCGATTCTCTTGCCTCAGCGTCCCAAGTAGCTGGGACTATAGGTGCCCGCCACAAGGCCCAGTTATTTTTCTGCTATAGTTGTCATTGTTGTTTAGGTGGCCCGGGCTGGGTTTGAACCGGCCACCCTCAGTGCATGTGGCTGGCACTGTAACCACTGTGCTATGGGCACTGAGCCAGTTATTTTTATTTATTTATTTTTGAAGGTTTTTTGGGGGGAGCAAGGCCATGTTTGAACCTGCCACCTCCAGTATATGGGGCTGCAGCCCTACTCCTTTGAGCCACAGGCACTGCCCTGGGATTGCATCTAATTAAAAGAGTATGCGGATACATTTTTAGGTCTTATAGAAGAAAAAAAGGTATGAAAAGTGAAAAATAGTAATGTTATAGTGAAGAAACCTGGCAGACGTCATCTTAACGAAGAGAAATATGTTAACATCACCAGTAATAAGACATATTGTTGGGTGGCGCCTGTGGCTCAAAGGAGTAGGGTGCCGGCCCCATATGCTGGAGGTGGAGGGATCAAACCCAGCCCCTGCCAAAAACTGCAAAAAAAAAGAAAAAGATGTATTGTTATCATATACCCTCTGATATGTTGGAAGGAGAATGGCATCTCACTTTCACAGTATTCTTTCCCCAAAACCCATACCCCAGTGCAACCATGAGAAAGTATCTGAGAAACCCAAATTGAGGAACATTATACAAAATACTTAATACTAAACCAGTATTCTTTTTGTTTGTTTGTTTGTTTGAGACAGAGGCTCACTCTGAAAAAAATTAAGAGTCTCACTCTGGCTCCCTGGGTTGAGTAGCATGGATGGTGTCATAGCTCACAGCAATCTCGAACTTTTGAGCTTAAGTGACCCCCTTACCTCAGCCTCCTGAATAGCTGTAACTATAAGCACCAGCTGCAACACCCGGCTAGTTTTTCTATTTTCTTTTTTAATTTTTTTTTCCAGTTTTTGGCCGGGGCTGGGTTTGAATCTGCCACTTCCAGTATATGGGGCCGGCACCCTACTCCTTTGAGCCATAGGCACTGCCCTAGTTTTTCTATTTTTAGTAGAGATGGGTGTCACTTCTGCTCAGGCTGGTCTCTAAGTCCTGAGCTCAAGCAATCCTCCCATCTCGGCCTCCTAGAGTGCTAGGATTACAGACGTGAGCCATGGCGCCCAGCCTTAACCAGTATTATTCAAAAGTGCCAAGGTCAGGATAGGGTGCCGGCCCCATATGCCGGAGGTGGCAGGTTCAAACCCAGCTCCGGCCCAAAAAAAAAGAAAAAAAGTGCCAAGGTCGCTGGGCCCTGTGGTTCACACCTATAATCCTAATACTGAGGGGCTGAGGCTGGTGAATTGCCTGAGCTCACAGGTTCGAGATTAGCCTGAGCCAGAGTGAGACCTCATTTCTAAAATAGCCAGGCGAGCTTTGCGCAATGTCAGTATCATAGCCAATGAGGTATATCTAAGGCACAATTATTGCTAATTGAAAACTCTTCCCAATACCCCGCCACGACAACTTGCAATATAGTTGGCACTGGCAATTTTTTTTTTGAGACAGAGCCTCAAGCTGTCCCCCTGGGTAGAGTGCCATGGCATCACAGTTCACAGCAACCTCCAACTCCTGGGCTCAAGC